TAGTATATTATTATTATCATTTAATTCTGTTATGGGCTAAATTGCCCCCTCCAATTTATATGTTAAAGTCCTACCCTCCACTATATGACTAGATTTGGAGACAGAGCCTTTCAAGAGATGATTAAGTTAAAACGAGATCATTAGGGAAAGCTCTCATCCAATATGACTGGTGTCCTTATAAGAAGAGGAAATTGGGACACAGATATGCACCAAAGGAAGACCACGTGAAGACACAGAGAAAAGACAACCATCTACAAGCCAAGGAGAGAAGACTCAGAAGAAACCAACCCTGCTGACACCTCGATTCTGACTTCTAGCCTCCAGAATTGTAAGCAAATAAATTTCTGTTATTTAAGTCACCCAGGCAATTGTACTTTGTTATGGCAGTCCAAGCAAACCAATACACATCCCTACAAACTTTCCTCTAAAATCTATTCCATAATTTATTTCTCCTAGTGTCTTATTCCTGCTTAGTTCTCAAAATTGAGTATGAAGTGTCTGTCCAAAGACTATAACAATAAATAATATTTTAAAAGCCTGCAGTTTGGGATCTTGATAAATCGACAGGCAGACTATGACAGACCACAAGGAAGTGTCATATTGTGGAATCTAGAATCAACATGAACTTTTACAAAGCATTGTTTCTAGTGAAGATATAACAATGAGATGAGACCTGACCCAGCTCAATATTCAGAAATTCAATCAGTATTATTCATATAACCTGTCTAATATATAATTCACAAAGGTAAGGAAGTACAGACTGTCAAATAAAAACTCCTGGTAAGACCAAATTACTGATAAAGAACATCCCTCAACAGTAGTCTGGATCATAGGCAACCTGCTAAGTACTGACAATTGTAATAAAAAAATAACAGTAACCTGAGAAAAGTCCAGAAACAGGCATCAAGAAATTTAGAAAGCAGGGCTGAACATCCAACTCACGCCATTCCTTGCCCCCACCCACAAACAGAGGTATTTTGAGTAGGTTTAAGACTCGAAGGATAAATGGAACATGAAAACATCATTTTTATATCAGAATCCCAAATTGTATTAGTACCTCCATTACCCTTCCTTCTCACAGCCACCATTTTGACTTCTGGCTCTCCCTCCGATTCTTGGTGATTTCATTATCCCTGTAGATGATCCTTCCACAACCCTGGAGGTCCCTGACAGATTGTCCTCTAAGGACCTTGCCCTCCACCCTACTTGTGCAACTCATTTTCACAAAAAGAAAAACCACTGGATATTGTCATTAACAATAAATGCACCCCTCCATAAACTTGATTTCCAGCAGCCCGTCTTTAACTGCCACTTGCATTCTTTACACTTCACACCCCACCAGGCTCCCAACACGAACAGTTAGTCCCACTGGATTGTCTGAGTCACTGACTTCTAACACCGTTTTACTGCCCCTCATCCCTCTCGTACCCTCACACCTCCCCTTACCCAGCAACAATTCCACGTTCGATCACTACTACAACTCCCTTGTGTTATATAATCCTTTACCTCTCTTGCCCCTCTCTTCCTCCATCAGGTTTGCCTGACTAAATTCAACTCTCTAATTAAAGCTTCACCTTCACTAAAGCAACTAAACACGGATGAAGAAAAACATCCACGTTGGCTGTTCTCACTTTGAATTCATGACCACTGACCTCAAGTAGACCCTTACTGTCGCTCTCCAGTTTTGTTATAAATCTCTAGTTTATTAACTTAGGTACTTCTAGACTCTATTTTCTATCTCTTCTCTCCTCAAACCTCCACATTTCTTCCTTCTTCTCATATTCAGTTGATGATCTTGCTTCTTATTTCATTGAGAAAACACAAGCAATAAATAGAGAACACCTACATGTTTCTATACCCGAATCCACCAACCTATTCTTGTTTGTACCCATATAGTCCATGTTCCCTCCTATGAAAATGGATGAACTCTTTGCTCTCCTCCCTAAGACCAACTGCTCCACCTGTGCACTGGATCCCACTCTGTCAGTGTCCTATACAGTACTCTCTCTCCTGCATCATTGAATTTTTCCCACTTTACAGAATCATTCCCACCAGCACAGGACATACTGAATTATTCCCGATCCTTATAAAACCATTGCTTAACCCCACATTCTCCCCTCCAGCTACTGCCTCATTTCTCCATTAACTTTGTTGTAAAAAATCTGTGAAATGGTTTATATAGTCTCTCTTGAATCTATTCCAATCATGCTACCAGCTCTATCATGGTACTGAAACAACTCTTGCTCAAGGTCAACAAGACTGTCTCTAGATGGTTAATTTTCTGCCCTCATCTTATGTCTCAGCAATATTCGATCCTTGTGACCATGCTCTCCTTCATAAAATACTTTCCTTCTTTGGTATCCCAGGCTCTGTTCTCTCTTGGTACTTCTACCCTTCTGGCTCTGCCTTCTCAGTCTTCCTCATCTTCCCAATCTCTAAAGTTGAGGCTCGTTAGGGCTCATTTCTTGGAATTTCTTTTTGTAACTATAATCACCACAACCTAGGTGATCTCATCCAATCCCATGGCTGATATATAGGCTGACGATTTTGATCTCTAGTCCTGACCTTTTTCCTAACTTCACATTTGTAGATCTAACTGCCTAATAAACATCTACAGCTTAACATGTCAAAAACCAAACCCCTGGATTTCCTCCCCAAACTGCACCTCCAACAGTTTCCCCCACCTCTCTAAATGCTACTTCCATTTTCCATTTGGGTGGTCCGAAAACATTTGCCTACTGCCGTGCTTGATTCTTTCTCTCACATGCGGCGCATCCAAATCCATTAGCAAATCCTGTTGATTCTCTCCAAATATATTCAGAAACCAGTTCCTTCTCATTATCTCCACTGCTATCCCCTTGTCCAAGTCACCAGCCTTCCCCCTTGGGCTACTGAAGCATTCCTGAACTCCTCTCTGTGTTCTGCTCCTCATAATTGAACTTGCAATTGTGATACAATAAACCAGATATCAAAATTTCCATGGTGTCCCATTTCACTGAGTAAAAGCCAAAGAAAGCCCTTACAAAAAACTTTCAAGAACCTCTGTAATCTGAACCCCTTCCTCCCACCTGTCACTCCAGCCTCATCTCCTATCTCTCTATTTGGCTAAACTGCTTCAACTACACTGGCCTCCATGCTATTCCTCAAACATGCCCCAAACATTCAGCCTCTGCGGCCTTCGTGCTTTCTGTCCCCTTTCCATGAAGTTTCTACCCCAGCGAGGGGTGACTGAGTGCTTCAGTAACCTCATCCGCTTCAGGTCTCTGCTCAAAAATCACCCCATTTGTGACACTTTCCTGATTTTCTCCACGTAAAGCAGCAACTCTGCTGATACTCTCCCATCCCCTTTGCTTTACTCTTTCCATGCACTCTTTACCATGGGATAGAGCACATACTTAACTGCTATTTGTTTAGTGTCTATCTCATACTACTGAGAATCAGGAAAGGGCTTGGTTTTGTTCAATATCTATCCACTAGTGACTGGAATAGTGCTGGTTCATATTAGGCATTCAGTAAACACTTGCTGAATAAATGAACCAACGTTATTGCCAGCATCATAATCAGTGTTATCTTTATTACCTAAATGCCTGGGTCTAAAGGATTGAAGCAGAACAACTGCATATGGTGTTCTAAGAGCAAAACACAACCTAAAGCCAGTTAACCTTGCTGGGATGGGAAACAAAAAATAGCCAGGACTGACTGGAAAGGCTAAGATGCACTTTACGTGCTAAGGCCAGAATAGGAAAATCATTTCAACATCTGGGTTTTAGTCAAAGCTAGTGGCACAATCGGCCTTCATTCCTAACAGAGCACCTCTATCAGAAGAGCTTTGTATTGTTCTATTTCATCACTAATACCATAACCCACCCACAAAAAGGGAATACTATATGAATAATTAATAGAAAGTTGAAAAAAGCAAGGAGAAAGTGTGATTTTCTTAAATCAGTAATTTTAAATCTCCTATTATTATTTTGCATATCATACAAAATAGTGTTTTCCTTTTTCTTATCTTAAAGCTATTTGTCTATCACATTCTCTCTTCGAGTAGAAAGAGAAAATATACCCAAATGGTAATTTTAATAACCTAGTCACAAGGGTTCAAGATAAAATAAATTTCAAAGTCTTATCATTTTGTATTAAAGCAACTTATTACATAGATGACATGTTCCTTTAGAAGATGTGAAGGTTAGTGATTGTCATTTTTTTAATGGAAATAGAATTCTAAGTCACATTAAAATGTTCAGATCTAGAATGAGAACTTGCATAACATGTGAAGAGTAAAAAATACAATAAACAAGATGAGAACCCACCAACCAGGCACAGCCATTATCTCTCAGACCTCTCAGTAATCTCCTTTTTGGACATCTGACATACTTGAGCCTCTGTCTCATGCGAAAAGATTTAATGTGTCATTTGATAACATTTCAGCATATCCCTTTGCTAATCAAAGTACATATTTGACTAGAGACAGAAATTTGAGCAGAATAAAAATGTAATTCAAAGAAAGGGCTAAGTTCAGAAAATTAAACATATAACATGATCTTAAGTGCTATGGTCCTTATTTGCTTTAAGACTTCATTTTTTTTTTACTACCAGAGGTCCTTATTTTTTTCACTTCGATTTAATAAAACAAGATATGTTGTAATTCCTATGACTTTTAAATTTAAGATTAAGTCAACTTAAGTTAAAAAATGTTCCCAATATATTAACATTCTAAATCTATTAGAAAGTTAAACTTCAAGATAAGCTAAAAGTAATATTATGCTTTAGATGCCTATAATGTTTGAAAAATTTTAGTTAAATATGAAGACACAACGTAATTTGAAACAAATGAAAGTAATGCATACAATTTAAGTGCCTAAATACTGACAATTAAAGGGGGGTGGGGGTTGTGATAATCAGTTCAACTTTGAAATTTATTTAGAATTTTATTTCAAGTGTTTACTTCACCAAAATTAAAAAAAAAAAAAAAAGATACCCACCATAGGTGGTCAACTTACTTTACAATGGTCATATTGGAGCTGTAAGGCTGGAACATCTCCTCCAATAGGCATTTGTTTTTTAAGCTCTTCATCTTTCATATTCAGCCATTTGATCAGTTCTTCTAAAGACATCAGCAACCTGTTCCACTTCTCAGCACTGGCCTCCAAATGGGCCCTGTTGAGAGATAACTAACCACAGTTAGAAGTTCGAATTGCATTCACAAAATTATATATCTTTCTTTAGCCTAGTAATCTTGTATGACCAAATAATGTTGACTTCCAAAAAAGACACTGAATCTTTGTAAAACAAATTTCCTGTAATAAGTAGTTAATTTGAATAAGCTAAAATATTCAGAGGATATGTTGGTAATAATAACTATCAAAATTTAAAATGTATACTTCCACATCACAAAGGCATAAATATGAAGGTTTCAAGAATGATGCCCATAGGCCAGGCGCGGTGGCTCACGCCTGTAATCCTAGCTCTCTGGGGGGCCGAGGCGGGCGGATTGTTTGAGCTCAGGAGTTCGAAACCAGCCTGAGCAAGAGCAAGACCCCCATCTCTACTAAAAATAGAAAGAAATTAATTGGACAACTAAAAATATATAGAAAAAATTAGCCGGGCATGGTGGCGCATGCCTGTAGTCCCAGCTACTCGGGAGGCTGAGGCAGGAGGATCACTTGAGCCCAGGAGTTGGAGGTTGCTGTGAGCTAGGCTGACGCCACGGCACTCACCCTAGCCCGGGCAAAAGAGTGAGACTCTGTCTCAAAAAAAAAAAAAAAAAAAAAAGAATGATGCCCATAATAGAATGTAAAATTATAAAGCAAGTTTTAGTAGTTTACATATAGTATATATGCACATGCAAATATATTTTTTCTCATTTCATCTATATAGATGAGGAAAGACAGAGAGAGAAGAAAAGAACCACTAGGAGTACAGTTAAACACCTAATTTCTATATACTTTTGCACTGCTTGAGGATTTACAACAGGCCTGTATTATGTTTTATTCCAAAAAATAAATTAGTTAATTTTTTAGGAAAGGAAATTACTGATGTCTTAATTTCTCTTGTAACCAAATAAATTACTAAAAGCAGAACATTACCAAAATTTACCTCAAAAAGTTAGAAAACAATAAGGCACTGCTTGAACAGGATACTGTTTGGCTCAAGGTTCACTGATGTCCAGTAACAAATGACCATTGTGAATAGAGAAAAATGGGCAAAAGCCATTGATTGCAGCACTTTCTACTCATTTAAAGGTGAGGTCTTTGTTTCAATAATAATTTCTATTTTCAGTACAGAAACACACCTTCAGGTTCTTAGATTATGAACTTCATAATCAGGGACTATGCTTAGGAAATGCATTTTTATGTGGTTAAGGTCCCAATAAGAGCAAAATCTCTTGAGAATAGAAGTGTAAATCAAAGCACATATTCCCCCTTGCTCTTGTTAGGGCCCTAGTTCACTAGGGCCCACCTATCCAGCCTCAAGCCCGCTGGTGGGTGGGATTTAAAAACATGGATCAGAGACTCAAGGAGTCAGACTTTACTCAGTGCTGCATCACCCCCGTGGATGGACCGTGAATGTGGACTTAAGCCCTAACCTGGTAAAATGGAATTACAATGACAATCCAAGATCTTTCAGGTATAGAGGGGCAGGGCTGACGGAGAGAGACATAAAGCTTGTTACACAATAGCTTCCAAAGAGAGACGACTTAGGAGGAAAAAAGATGACTCATTTGGGGCAACCCCAGGTACAAGAAACCTCTGTTGACCATGCTTAATACCTTCTCATACAACTCTCACCTTAATATTGGCATAATGGTCCCCACCTCTATAAACCTGCTCCTTTACTGAGGGATACGGAACCCACCAACCAGGCACAGCCATTATCTCTCAGACCTCTCAGCAATCTCCTTTTTGGACATCTGATCTACTTGAGCCTCTGTCTCATGCGAATAGCTCTGCAATGGTTAATTCAAATATCTCTGCTATAGTTAATTCCATCCCTCACTGATCACATTAGGTGATATTCCTAGCAACAAATATTCAACAGTATCTTAAGTCCTTGTTAAAAAGTTCATAATGTGTTCACAAGGAACAACTATTATATAAATCTGTAATCTCCAGTTCATCTAGAATTCATAAAATAATAACCGTAGTCTATCAACCAATATGCTTGGTTTAAAAAAAAAAAAACTGGATTTCTGCATGTCCTTTAAAATACCATGAACCTGCATTTACATACAATCACATACAAAACTAAAATTCTATGTCTTATTCATAAAAGCTAGGTATGAAATAATAACAAATAATTTATAAATACAGGGAAGTTCAAAGTATTTTATAATTCTCTGAGAATTGTATGATTAAAAAATTTATTTTATTTTCTTGCATTACTATCACTTCTGTTTATTCCACAGGTGCTATGATTGACCTCGCTTTACAAAATTGTTTTAACAAAGTCCTGATTCTGCTTGAGCTCCAGCTCTCCTGCATCGCTACTGATTAACTTTAGGCCAAATATGTAATTACCTTTCCCTTATAAATAATAATTTCCCTTGTCACAGAGCAGAATTAAATAATTTCAATTATATTAACTGAACTCTCTTCAGTAATAGCCATTTTGCAATAAGTACATTTGACTGAGCTGTGAGATTTCTTTCAAATATTTTTTAATGCAAAAGACGTCTAGAAACCAGATGTCCTCAGTCAATCAAGAAGTGCTTGAGTGTCTGTGTGCAAAACACGTATGCACGTACTATGACCTCTTATTTCAGATGATTTGATCCTGCACATTCAATATCTGTAGTTTAACTCATTAATTAATAACTAAATCACACATTATAATCCTTTGAAATTCAGTTGCAAACACTTATTTTATTGAAGAGTACACAATGTCTTTGCCAATACAATGAACCCTTTTGAATGCACAGAAATAATGAAACTAATCACTGAAACTTATGGCATTCAGCATCTGAAGAACTATCTCTATGGATGAAGACAATACTTTTTAAAAGAGATGCTGAAGTAGTGTTGAAATAAAAAAGAAAACATGGGTGTACGGGATTCTTTGCATCTTTGTTTTTCCATAGTAACAAGTGAGCTGATCTGGCAGAACATTTGCCTGGCCAATCTATCCTGGTTATTCGCCAATAGATTATAACTATGTGTTTAGTGGATTACTACCATATGCCCAAATACATGCATGCTTCTGTAGTAGTTTCAGAGTTCTAGTTTCATTTTAATGCTTTCATCTTGAAAGATGAAAGCTTTTGCCTGAATGTTTCGTACGAAGAAACTTTCAATTTCTGAATGGCCTAGCTGTACTTTCTCAATTTTCCTATAAACATTTTAAAAACTTAAATTTCTCCAAGATGATTGCTAACCAGTCATCAGTCATGTTTTCAGAGTCTTTACTTAAAACATTTCTTTATCTAACACGTCACTGTGGGCAGTCACACTTTTAGATAACTGGATTCTAACTTCGTAACTGCTACAGTTCTCTCTTTTGGCACTTGATGTGTACAAAGCCATAGCTACTTTCACTGGCTGTATTATCAACAGAGGATGGTATCTACTACAGAACATGCTTTATACAAGTTACTCTGTTCTAAAGTAAATTATTTTTGACAACTCTCTAAACATTTTTAAGTGACCAGTTATTTTTTTTAAATGTAATGCTAAAACTTGTTAGAAGGTAAAGATCTGTAAAAATGTACTTCATCATTTAAGTAGGGTAGAAAAGAAACTATGGAGAAAATTATGAACTAATGTCTATTTTAAATCATCAAAAGCCTCCACCTTTCAAAGAAGCTATATCCTCCAACAGTTATTATTCCTTTTCCCAGTGTACAGATACAAAAGAAAATTGTTTGAGTGAGTGGGGAGGGGCATTTGTTAAAATAAAATACAGTTTTTCATTTATTTACTACAAACAAGCATTTATGGAACACCCCCTGTGACAGCAGGCACTATACTGTTTCAGAAATAGAAAGTCATGCCGTCAGCAGTTCCAGGGTCAAGTTAGGAAATCAAATGTACTCTAAGATAGGAAACCTGACAACAGCTCTGTGAGAGAACTGTGGCTCTGAGAAGGAAGAAAGTTGCTGAGGAAGCCATGGTGAAAATTTGGAATCCAACCCAAAGTCCAGGCTGTTTCTACTATATTGCCCTTCATCACGGGCAGCCTTTAAGAGGGTGGATAGAAACTGCCCAGATGTATGGTACTTATGGACAAGTAAAGATACATTTGGAAAGTAGGTCTACCAAATAATATAATGACCCAAATTAAGAGGAGGAAAAGATATACCATTCCCTATTGTGTAGGAATTGCACAGAATTAAAAGTCCAATTTGGCATTGTTACTACGAGTGTAATTTCTTTTTGGTTTATGGTAAAATCCACAAATTATAAATTGGTTGTAATGAAAGAAAATACCTTAATTAGGGTAAGAATAACAGATAACATTAAAAGGGGATTATTCCTGTACCCAGAAAAGGAATTAAGACCTACTAGGAGAAAAGAGTCAAGTCCTCAAAGTTCAGTCTGACTGTGTTGAAAAGAACACCAAAGCTGTACTTCCAATATGGTAGCCAGCAGCAACATGTGGGCTATTTAAATTTAAATTTAGGATAATTAAAATTAATAAAGTTTGAAATTCAGTTCATCAGTTGCACTGGCCACATTTCAAATACTCAATAGGCCACATAAGGCCAGTGGCTGCTACACTGACAAATGCAGACATAGATCATTTCGGTCATTGTAGAATGTTCTATTGGAAAGTGCTGCACCAGAGGAAAAAAGAGAAAGAGGAGAGAAGTAGAATCTTTCTCTATTAGATTTGGGAAAAGGAAATTTTAGTAGTTTTACAAGATGTTTAGCAAAACCAACTATCTAAGGCTAAAAGTGCTATCAATGACATTGTAAAACATGGTAACATTAGATGCAAATGATTACGTTAGAGGTTAATCTTCTCTAAAGGCTTTTAAAAAGGTGCCCTGAATTTTTAAGAGGCTCATAAAAGAAAAGAGAGATAGAATTTTATCTTTGAACTCTGTTTTCATTAGATTTGACAATTTCACTGGCCTTTGAAACCATGTTAATAAGGATCTGTATTAAACATCATTAAGCTGATAAGTGGATATTTAATTAACATAATCTTAAATTAAATAA